ACAGGAAGACTGAATGGCACGGTTTCAGTGATTGTTTTCTTCAATTTTTTATACAACCTATGGCTTTATAAAGCGGAAAATATAGCAAAATAAATCAGAAAAGGGGAAAATCCAATTCTAACAACTGAGAAATTCAATTCAATTTAACATGCATAGTACATAGCAGTAGCTATCCATAGGGACAGCTTTCTAGCTGATATAAAGTCAGCTGCTGTTAAGTGCAACGAATGTGCACAGGCATCTTAGGGGAAAAACATTAGCATTTTTAGGGAAACATACCTATCATTTTGGCTAGGGCGGAAAACAGCCTTTATTTGGCTGTTAAAGTACAGGAAAAAATTATGTTGGGGTATTGCATATTGCTGGGACATTTACTATTTCTTAAGCACAATTTTCTGCATTCAAGCTACCAGTAATTGGGGACCAAGGAATGACACATGACAATATTGCATCATGGAAACTTACAGTTTACACTGTTGTTGCCCGCACCCAAATTTATGAAATAGCACCAAGCCATGATATTGGTTTATTCGGCATTCTCGCCGCAAGTGCAATGACTGGTTTGGAAAAAAACAACAATTGGCCGCTGATAGTTATTACCTAGATCTTGATAAGATAAAAACAAAAAAAAAAAATCCAGGCAGGTTTGCTAAGTTGCATCACAAGTAGCAAAAGTTAGGTTTGTTTTTTTCCAAAATCTGCAATTAGTTGATAAATTTACCTGGAAACCTCAAAACTAGCGCAAAGCCAAAGGCATTACAAATCCTCTTCTGGAAACATACTACTATAAAAATTCTTGTCATGTGCAAGAAGTTTTTTATTTTCCATCGATGAAGATTTATCGTTGTTGCTGTCAAAGGCAAAGGTAGCCCCCTTCACAGAGAGCAAAATGATAAGCCCCCCATGAGCCATGTTTTTACCTTGGACAAAGACCAAAAAAATAATTGTATGTGTTCACTGCACATCAAAGCTGGGTTAGTAAATTTATATAGCTTAATGTTAATATTGACTTTATAATAAAAGAAACTGTTACTGATATAATATAGTATGACTATGAGCACATTTGTTATTGTAAATTTTGATGCTTATGCTTCGAACACGCGTCAAAAAATCAAGATATAGCGCCATCGCTACAGCAATTTAAAAATTAACAACACATTCTGTATGCAAAGGTTGATCAGCATTACCATACCTTTATGATTTCAGACTTGGAAAAACATGTAGCCATGTTGCTACATTATTATTTAAAATGATGATGGCAGTGAGTACACTGTGGGGGCTGAATAGAGAATCCAAGACAAGTGTTTCTGTACATGGAACCAGTTTTATAGAAAGAAGGTAAAATCGACAATCTGCTTTAATAATTTCAAGTCATTAACCTTTAGTATCTAACCTTAGCTAGCTTGATAGCTTATTGAATAATAGTATACTAGTAGTACAATTTAAACTTATGACTCTGACATACAAGGTCTTTCTGCCTTAGCAGACATGAATATCAAGTCACAAAATGGATTGCTATCTCTTTTAAACATCTTGAAGTGTATAATCACCAATTTTTTTAGCAGTTGTAAATTACAAAGAATTGTTTGAGGTTTCATACGTCACAATGTAAATTTTCTTAAAAAAATTGAAAAAAAAAACTTTTTCTCTTCAGATCACTATCAAACGGTTTCACAGATGACCTTGGTCAACTTAAAGCCTTGACAGGAAAGAAAGAGAAAACAGAATCATGAGGATGAGACGGCAATGCCCACTGAAGATGAAAATGAGGCACCTGAAAGTTTAACAGCATGTGTGCACAACAGCTAACATGTGTTTTAATAAAGGTACCAAAATGTTGCCCAAATATAGCAATATTCATTTATGTTTATATAAAATATAAATTACAATGAGAAAATGAATAAATATTTATAAAATAACATGAATAAGGCCAGCTATATATTTCATTCATTCCGTTGTACAGTGATACAGGTGGAAGGAAAAGCATGATAGACACCTCAGATGCTAGAACTTAACATCTGTAAAGACGCATGGTATGCCAATAGATGCAAGTTGAATTAACACACCAAGCCGACTTCAAGGTCTTCTGATTCTTGTAACTTGTTGCACAACTCCAGACAGAAGCAAAACATGAACAGGCAATTAAAAAAAAACAATTTGTCCGCAATTTGTTTAGCAATAAACAGAAATCTAATCTGAGTGCATGATTTTTTAACTAAATTGAATTTTCTTTAAAAGTGTAAGGATGTATACAATGAATTGATGCTATTTTTTTATATTTTCATAAAATTTTATTACCACATGAGACCCATGATAAAAATCGCAACTTCTCGAGCTAAAACCTTTCAGCCAACAGGAAGCGGCCAACACGCACGAACAATTTTAATTCGTACTCTATATTTTCGCATAACTAGAACCCCGCGAGTCGGCTGTGTCGCCTTGTGAACAGTATAGCTGTTATCTATGCATTTTCTTGTTAAATATATGTTAATTATAAACACCGCTCTTTCAATGTACATGTACCTTTAACTTTAGTGGCATTTGAATTGATTGTAACAATGTTACATCAGGATTATTAAAACTGTTATATTATCAAAAATAAAAAAAATCATGGAACAGTTTTACACTGACAGATCAAATGGAGGACTCTGTGATGGATTCTTAAGCACTGCACTTAAGGTCAAAGAAAAAGGCTTACATACCAAATTTGGAGTCAATCAAACTTATAGTGACCAAGTTATGCTCGGACAAGCCAATTTTGTAAGAAAATTAACTAAGGGCAATAACTCAAAATCATGAAGCGCAGAGTACAAGTTCTTGTGTATATCACTTCTCAGCAAGATCTATCATCCTATGAAGTTTCAAGTCAATAGCTTTAAAAGTGTAGGAGAATTGGCCTGGACAAAAATAAAGTTTTATAATTAACAAAGGACAATAAGTCTAAAAATCATGAAGTACAGAGTACCGGTTATTGTGCACTGCACTTTTTCTTAATAAGATCTATCATCCCATGAAGTTTCAAGTACAAAGCTTTTATAGTTAAGGAGAAATGGCCCGGACAAAAATAAAGTATGAACATAAACAGAGGGCAATAACTCAACAATTAAGAAGTGCAGAGTAACGATTCCAATGCATTGCACTTTGGGTCATTGAAAGAAGCGTGTTTTCCAAGCTTTGAGTCAATCCGACTTATAGTGATTGAGTTATGCTCCAGACAAGTGTAAGGCATGTTTTTTTTGCATGTAATATGGCGTAAGACAAAGAGAAAAATCTTTCACACGTGTTGTTCTCGTTATTTCTAAATGATCTTTCACAGTTTATGCTTGACAAATATGCTGGTCTATATACACTTGCTAATTATTTGAAAAGCTTATTAAGTAATGATCGAGGAGTAATGAGCAGATGAGCTTCAGATTGCATTAAATGCTATGCTAGAATATTGTAATGTTTGGAATTTAAAAATGACCTCTGCCAAAAAAAAGGCTGTAATATTTTCTAGTGGCAGAAATCGTATGGAAGATGCAACTCAATTTTCTTTTGATAATGAGAACTTAAGTGCTTTTTCTTATCTAGATATTCAATTTATAGAAAATGGTAAATTTTCTAAAATATGATAAACAAGATCGACAAGGAAAGGCGGCGTTCAATGAACGCAGCCCCCATGGACAAGGAGGGGGACACCCACAATGAACGCCGAACAATCCCTTGAGGATGAAAATATAACAACATTGATTGCATGTACGGAGAGACTTTTTACAGCCGCCACGCGGTTGTGAGCATAAAATATGATAATCAAGATCGACAAGGAAAGGCGGCGTTCAATGAACGCAGCCCTTAAACTAAAACTAGAAAACGTCTTACAGATCAAGCGAAGAAAGCTAAGTTCTCTCTGATAAAGTGTTACTATCTGTAGATCGTTTGATATAATGATTGTTCCTATTCTTCCTTATGGGTACGTTACGATACCGAAATCAACTTGATTTCGGTAAAGTTACCGAAATCAACTTTTCATTACCGATATCAACTCGTATAATAACTATAGCCTAGTACAAACTCATTTTTAATTTTAAAAAATGATGAAAAAATGCAATATGGTCATTGTACATATTTCTTTTAACATTAGCTAAATATATAAATCTTGAGGTTTTGTTTAAAAAGCTACTCTGAGTACTGGATTACCATTAAAATCATGCTTCATAAATAATTTATACATAAGAGAATCTGTGTTTGACATTATCTTAAACCAATATGTAATCATTCTTATCTTACGCATAAAATATAGTGGAAGTCTTCCAAATTCACCATATAATGTAACATTTGATGTTTGTTTTCGAACTAAGTCTTGTAAAGTTTGCTTTAAAAAATTCATATGAACCTTTTCAATATATCATGGCTCTGAAGTTTGGGAAAATAAAAAAAATAAAGAGTATTGATCAGTTTCAGCTTAAATTTTACAAAATTGTACTTAACCTCAAGCAAAGTACTCACAATTTTATGTTATATGGTGAACTTAGCTTTACTCCGATATCTTTGCAAATTAAAAGAAGAATCATTAACAGATGTAAGCTTTTGAAGGTACAGATGATAAGATTTGTAATATTTTATTTAAAATAGAGTAAAATAAGAATCCCTTAAGAAAGCCCAACGCGGCAAAATTGAAAATGTTGCAGGCTCGGTTTGATTGAGCCTGTTCATGGACGGTACTGTCAAGTGCAAACTACCGTCCACGCCACCTAGCACCGGCTTAAGCAGAATTCAACATTTAACATGAACTTGCAAAATTTATAAGACTGCATACTCTGTATTTGTTAGATATAAAACTGAATTACCGTGGCTTTCTTTTGTGAATGATACTTTGGACGAACTTGGTTTATCAAACTATTGGTAAAGCCAATCTGTACCTATATGTCCGCTTAATTTCAAAAGTCTTGTTAAGTCCAAACTTGGAGATCAGTTCACCCAAATTTGGAACAGTGACGTCCAATCTTTAAACAAATGTTTAAACTATCTTTTATATAAATCAGAGTTTGTAGAAGAGTATTTTAACATACTTCCTTGGCAACTGTCTTCAGCTTTGTCAAAAATCATAATATGCCAATTGAGAAAGATAGAGAGAAACTTACGTATATGTATTTTATGTGAATCAAACCAACTGGGTGACGAATTTCATTATCTCTTTTATTGTTCACATTTTGTTTATAGTAGACGTCATTTATTAAACCGCATTATTGTTAATATCCTAATGCATTGAAATTTGAAAATCACATTTAAAAATCAAAGCACAGAAGGCGCTGAATTCGTTTGGGTCTCAGAATGTCAGAAAGGTGAAGGTTGTGAGATTATAAACCAAATTGTTTTTGTATAGTGCCACCAATTCTTTCCAGTGTTTTAACTGTAGTAAATTAGCTATTAGACTAATTGCAACGCTGATAGTCAATTCAATGTTTATTTGACTTAAAAAAAAAAAGAAAAAAAATGAGTTGCCTCAACTGGGATTTGAACTCGAGACCTCTCGATTCATAAGCGAGCGTGCAAACCCCTCGGCCTCGGTGAAGTTAAATGTAGTTGTAAATGGCCCGAAGAAAACCATATTATTCTAAATTATGGTTTGAAACTCTTATTATTTCGACGCTAAACACAGATGTAAATAATCATGGAGCTTACTGTAAGCATGTAAATCTATAAAGAATGAAACAATATTAGAAATCTTCGACCATTCGGGAACTACTTTGCTTGAAAATTAATGCGCCTGTCATTTGACAATCTTTACGCATTGATCTCCCCTGAATTTTTCGGCGTTAGTGTACATATAAAGGGAAGTAACCGCTTCAAAAAAGTGGACTTCTTTAGGCATTTGCAATTAACAGCATTAGACTCTGAAATTTCGCTACCATTATTTGTTTGGTCTGACGACCCAAACAAATAATTAGACTCTGAAATTTCGCTACCATTATTTGTTTGGTCTAATGACCCAAACAAATAAAAAACCTTGCTCCGGTGTGTAAAGAAATAATTACAACATGCAAATAACAAGTTTAATACTGTATCATATTAGTCTCCTAGAAAATTCTGTTAATGAAGCATTAATTTCGTTTATCATTAAGAAACTAGTCATATTTTAATTTTATTTTACGGGTACAATATAATTGTCACTCCTTCTCCTGTATTTATGTCTATTTCTCCTGTTTATATGTATATTTTTCTGTGTTCCGGCTGTAACATGTTCACAATTTTGTATTTTATGTCACATGTTCTTATGAACCATGACAGTATTAAATAAATCTTGGAATTGTGAAATCCTGTTACTCTTTGAATATTCCCTATCGGTCTAACCAAATAATGTGACGGGTATAAGCTATATATTCGGCACTTAAGACCAATCATGGTCTACATTTATCAATATTGTAAATGCTTGAAATAATCGTACAAAACAAACAATAGAATATAATTTTTACTGTTGAAATTTATTGAAAATAGTTAAGAATACATACAAAGTTCGTAACTTTGAAACGACTCTTCTGTCTCTCGGACTCCGACCGAATCTAACACATATACTGCCATACCACCCTATTAAGGTACCTATTTGTTATACTTTAAGTTTTTACTTTTCGGCATTTGTCTAGTTGGGTGGTTCCAATATTCCTGCATCACCCTTAGGATATGTTGCCTTCTTTTCAATTTGTCTTTTGACGTCTTATCTGTGTTTACAGGCTTCACAACATCTGACCCCCTTTCAAAATTCGATTTTGTTTTTGTTCCGCCCATTTTTTTCTCGTTTAGGGCACACGCTATCTTTTACTTGGGGACCATACGCCGCTTTTCATGGAATGGCACGAAAGTACGTATCACATTGAAGGTTACATGATAACCGCCATATGAACACATCTGCGGATGTTTCTAAAATCAAAATTTCTTATTTTCTCTATTTCATACTTAAATTATGTTTCTTATATGTTCAATGAGGAAATATGCGATATGAATATTAGTAGAGACAAATTTAATTTTCTGTATAAACAAGAGCAAACACGTTATACTGTTTTAACACTCGGCACTAAAGACAAAACATATACCTACATTAATCAATATTGTAAATGCTTGAAATAATCGTATAAACAAATTCAGAATGTAACATTTACTGTTGAAATTTAGTGAAAATGATTTAGAATACGTACAAAGTTTATATCTTTGAAACGACTTTACTGTCTGTCCGACGGATTGTGACACTTATACTACCATGCAACCCTATGAAGGGCTTCCATATACTTTTATGTTTCTTATATGTTCAATGAGGAAATATGCGAATTAAATACTAACAGACACTTATTTTCTGTACCAACAAGGGCAATTTCTCTGTACCAACAAGAGCAATTTCTCCAAACACGTCACTTTTTGAACACCCCCTATCCGCCAACCCGCGTTTCTTACTCGTTAAAATTTCTAGTACACTATTTTTGTATTACAAGGTTTGATGCACTACAAGTTAATAAACATATCAAGAACATTTAAAGGTGGTCCTACATGTCTAAAGTCTATGGTTAAATTCTGGATTAGGTCAATAACTCTACAAATATCAGATGTCTTACTTCCGGAACTTCTGCAGATGTTTCTAAATTCAAAATTTCGCCATTTCCATATTTAAATGTGAACTCTGTTTAAGCCGGTGCCAGCGGGCTGGACGGTAGTTTGCAGTCAACAGTACCGTCCATGAACAGGCTCAATCAAACCGAGCCTGCAACATTTTCAATTTTGTCGTTTTGAACTTTCTTTGGGGATTCTAATTTTCACTATTTGACCACACATGCATACATTAAAGTTCATTTTCCTAAACAGCAAAGTACGTGAGGAACAACATACCAGAAATATACAATACAATTGCATGCAGTATATTTTATTAGAGATAAAATTCAACATTATTTCTTATTAATGCTTCATCCACTTGTCTGTATCTTAATTACTATTCACTTTTTATCTTTTTTTCATTTTTCGGAAATTAAAAATCATGACACGTATGTTTGAAAAAAAAATACCACCTGTAATGATTTCATAATTTATCTTTGATATCAATAAATTCATCTTAAACCTTTATTAATGATTTCATGACTAATCTGGCTGTGATATCAAAAACTTCATCTATTCAAACCCCATGATGCAAAACTTGTCTTTAGAACAAAACATTTCGCTCTTTTTATTTGATCTTTGGTACAAGTCTGCCATTTCCCATTCAAGTGACCCAGTTTAAGCCGACACCCTTTCTGGAACGTCATGACTTGTCATTAGATGTCAACCTCCTATAGTAGGGAATTCTCTTTCACTTTCCAGTATTTGTCTATTCTCTAGCACTTATCAAAGAAGACAGTGAACTATTCCCACTTCCTTTTTAAGTTTTGTGTTAAAATGTTTTCCTATCAATGTCAAACTCATTTTGGGTATTAAATGCAAGATGCCTTCTATGCTGTTGTCGCAACAAATGGGTGGTTGAAGTCAAGAGAACCTTCGACTTCTATTTATTTGATGCTCGACCTCTACATTATATCTATAGCAACATTATAATATCATTTAAATCTTATTCCACAACATGGCAAATGTCCTACTGATCACAAGGATTAAATTATTTTTGTGCTTCATGAAATTATTTCAAAGAGTATTTTCATTTCTGTAAGTCACATTTTTATAATGTAAATGTAATGAGATTTTGTAAGATGATGCATTATCAGCCATATCACATAACTAGTAGTTAGAATGCTTGGGACTTTCATATGCAATGCATTCAAGCACGTAACTAAATATTTTATGTAAAAACAAAAGATAGTTCATGTTTTATGAATATTTCTCTAGATTGATTAATTACGTATTTTAAAATCAAAACTACTATGCACTATCACTTAATCGTATAATATGTTTTTGTTTAATATATTGATATCAATGTTGTATTTTGTTTAGGTGTCTTTCACACATGTGTGTAACACTATATAGTCTGATCACATATAGAAATAACATGTTTGTAATGTACATGTATCTTATTATATTATATTGTAATATATTATGTCTCTTATACATTATTTAATTTCTTTGAAGGTTGACTTTTGTAGCTGCAATTTTCGTGTTATTGAGTTGTATTTAATGCTTCCTTAGATGAAATTATAGTGCTTCCGATAATACACAAGTGATCTCTTGAGATAATTCTTACAAAGCGATGGACATTGTTTATGTTTGTTATCTATATGTTGAAAAGCCTTCTCCACAATATTAGATTATGTTTGTCAATCATATTGATAAACTTCAAATATTGTTATATGTATAAAATGTTCATCATATAAAGATTTGTATATATATGTGCCTTATGGGCTTTTAAGCCTTAAAGTTGTTTGTTTTTCTTCAATATTTTGTTTTTATTGAATATATCTATATTTTACAGAATTTTTATTTTTCTAAATCATACTGATAAATAAAAAATGGAAATACGATCAAAAACAAAGAGTTATTAATTGACTGTTAAAATCAAAACAATATTTAGTATTTATGCAATGTACTTGTTGATTACTTATTTCTGGACTTCCTTCAAAATTTACCAACTAAGCAGATGGCGCTCAAGCATCGTAAATTTAAGTATTTTATCATTTATTCCCTACGCTCCTAATATTCCAAATTCTAAAAAAAAGGAATATCGTTGTACTATGGTATCTACAATGTACAGACGTACCATGAATATTCCATTACGATACTATTGTTAATAATGTTCAGTTCATATTTGATTTAATCATATTTTATTGCTTGAAACATGTACATGTAACATAAAGATTACATTTATACAAAACAGAATAAATAAATAAATACGAATAAGGAAACATGTATGTTAACAGTTTGAAGCAAATGGGTTGGGCCACAAGTTTTACCAACATTAGTGAAGGCCCTTCCCAGGCAAGTTTAAATAACAAAATGTTCATTATAAAGATACAAAACTTGTTTACGTAATTAATGTGTTAGGCGAAGAAACAAGAAAATATATGTTTTTTGCGCATCATCAGAGCAATATTTACAGTTTGCTTCTATATATATCTATATTGATATTAAGTATTTAGATGAAAATATTATGAGAAAAAAAAAAACAACAAAAAAAATTGATATTAGGATTAAATACCATGAAATAGAAAAAAAACACACATTCTAAAAACATTCAAACTTCTGTTCACCTTTCCTCTGAGAAAAAAAAATAAAACAGGTTTCGCCTCCATTTCCGTTACTGGACCAGCATTAAAAATAGAAACACGGAGTTATATTTAATTATTATTAAGATATATTAAGTTCTAAAACGATTCGTATTCTTTATATATTTTTGAACATGCCCAAAAATAATGTCATTATCTTCAGACGACAAGTTATCAATTCCAAACAGCAGTTTCTTTACACTTAAAGGATGATATGGGCGGGTATTAATGAATAATTGATGGCGCTGTTGATGAAATAACGGACATTTGAAAAAATAGTGTTCTGCATCCTCTATGGTATATCCACAGTCACATTTTTGATTATCACGTAAGTGGTTGTAAAATAAGTCGGAGTTTAGGTTACTACATTTATTACGTATTCTTGCATGATGGACCTGTGAAAATCTTTCACCAGAAAAGAAGAATGGGGGAACTATTGGGGGTTCAGTTCATACAAAGCAGTAATCAAATCAACATTATTCTGTGTCTTTGTGACAGTATGATAACTTTCATTTTTAGTTATTTAATTTACATAACCAAACATGTTTAAAAATACCAATTAATTATGAGGAATCAGTTTAGATTTGCATGTCCTCTATGTTGGTATCAGTTCAATTCATGTATAATTAAAGTTCTCCGACCCATAGAAATTGCTTCAAACTTGATTCTTTGATGGTAACGGAAACCGGCCAACAAACCCGTCGAAAAATATGATGCAAAAACAAAACTAAATCAATTAAATAAAATTTCCGTGTACAAATTCATATAATTAATACGAGGTATGTAAGTGATTATTTAACTGTTTAAGTTGGTGTATTTGTACAATCGTAGGCGTAATTTATATACAGTGTACACGACAGTCATACATTTTCTCCAAATCGTGAGAAAGGAGTTGGCAGTTACTAAAGTTTATTTTATATAACCATAAAACTCGACAAAAAGTGTGTCTTTTTGGAGAAATTTGAATAATCAGTTTTATTACAATCGAAAAATAATGCAAATAGGTCTTTTTAGGTCATAAAGCGGTGTAATAACGTTAAGCAACGGCAAAGTAGATTTTTTATGTTTATCCCAAAGAATTTTGTAATTTTAATAAAAGTTTACTGTCTGTCGTATACCTTTAAACATACTTTTATCAACCGCTTAATTCAGGTTTAGAGTCCACCCAGGCAGAAATTAGACTTTGTGACATATCACAATGCACATGAAATGATAAATAAGTTTGTAATCCGTTATAAAATTGGTAATTTATTCAAAACAGGTGCGGGCATCTTCATTTTGATATTCACTAGTACATATTAAAGGATGAAAAGAAGGCCAGTTAGAAGTATGTCCATGACAATTTAAAATTCAAGAACTAAAGGATTTGCCAAATCTAAATAACTCTCAGAAATACAGAACTTTAAAACAAAAACATTTCATTATGAAGTTTGTCACTAAATTTTTCATTTGCAATATTAAAGCCACATGCTACACACACAGACTCATACACACTAAATTTATCATTTGCATATTCTTCGGATCGTTCTAAATGAATAATTAAACGACTCGGCTTTTTATCATGTTTTAATGAAACAATTTACTAAGTTCACATGTCAGATTGTTTCCTTTATTTTAACGATCACTTGTCAATGAGCCAAAACTTTTACAGCCTTCTATTTCGGGAGCTTCACCTGTATGAAACGGAATAAATTTGGTTAGTAATGAGGGACTTTGCTCGCCTTAATCCGCTTTTATGAAGCACGGACTCGTAAAGAGGGATTAGTCCATACGTTATGATACGGGAGCGGACATTAGCTGAGTTTTCAAATTACAGTTTTGTTACTGACTTCGATGTCTGTCATCAAAACGAGGGATTTTACCAATGTCCTCAGTCAAGGTTTGTCTTACAAGTTTAGTGTTAACTGATTCATTCAACTGCCACATGATTAAAAAATAGCAGTCTTTTTAAACATCTCTCGAGCCGCTCGATCCTCTTGACTAGGTATCGAGTGCCAATGTATGAGGACATATTGCCAATTACTAGGGCTGAGCAAGCTACTGATTTCTTATAGCCACAGATATGTCTTATTTTGAGTATCAGTTACTGTTAGAAGGTGGTTGTTTTGTAAAACATTCCATCCTTATCATAAACCCGAATTAATAAAACTCATTCTTCACAAGTCTTTCGAGGAGCTCACCACTTGTGGTCTACACGAAGACAATGCAGTGGAGGAACATGCTTTAAATTATAATATGTACTGGTTGCATCAAAATCTTTCTACTCGATAGTTCAGTATCGATAATATGTATTGTCATTAAAGGTTATATGAAGTTTATGACCATAAATCATGTATTTTCTGCCGATTGGTTGATCCT